AGGGAAAGAGGCCCTTCCTGGAGGCCGGGGGGCCACGGCCACGGGGGGTCCTCGCGCATGGCGACGCGAACGAGAGTGACCGCGCGTTCAGCGGCGAGATTAGTGCGGGGGAGGCACTCGTGGGTCCCACTTTCGATGCTGACGTGTCGGTCAGGCTCAGGTACCAGGGCTTCAACGAGTCCAGGTGCTGAGATACGGTGAAGGAGAACCGCGACGACGAGCACGACCCAATCTTCGCCGTTGATTTAACGCTCGAGGTATCGAATCGGAGGGACGAGGCTCGCGGGTACGCCGCGAAGTCGTTGAAATCCAACGATTCTTCGAAATCCAACGAGGATACCACCGTCGTCCACGCTGATAATTCCACGAACGGACGAACACCCTGCAGTCCAGTGCACCATCGTCAACACAAAACACACCATAATTACTCTATTCTACTTTAATTTGTTTTTTCTGCAATATTTAATATTTAATATTTAATATTAAATGGGTACAAATAAGTCTTTTTCAATCCCTTGCCAAAACAGTATATAGTGTTCCCTCGTACACTATGAAATATGAATGTAACGAGGACAAATAAACTAGCTTTTCAATTTCTTGGTTGGTTAATGGTCTACATTTGAATTTATGATAATGTTGAACAGTAACGGGAAAGGGATACTTTTTGTGCATGGGGTACAATGTTAATTAATAGAGTGAGTATATATGAACTTGGTTTGGATATAGGGTCGTGGGTGGGTGGACCACCAAAAAACCAGGGGAAGTGGTCCATTTATTGATATTGGTCAAACATGCATGATCTGAGGATATGATGATGCCAGAAAGGGTGCATTATGTGCCCAACACAACACAACACAACAGCAGAACGAGACCACCAAACTAAAATGTGGTGGAACAGTGTTAAAAGAGTTTAACTGCCACTTGGCAAACAGTACATGGTAGACTACCAAAATTAGGTACGTAAGGATTTTGAATTGTGGTTACCTTCCACAAGTAAGCGAAAAGCGAGGGAGTGTCTATGACAAACGCTTTGCATAGCCTTCCTGGGTAGTACTCCGCCACAATTTTCAGTGCTGGTAGCAACAAGTTCATGAAAGCAGATGCGGATCTGTAAAAGCCTGCAACAGGCAATTAAGTAACCCGTTAGTATTCCCCAATCTTCAAATTAGCTTTGGGACGATAATTTATAAAATTGTTGGGGTGAGTAAAAAAAGGTAAAGGGGTACTGGCAAAAGCTAAAAAGGAGAATCATGGGTTGTTCCTCTGCTGCAATGGCATAATTTAAGGAAGCATTAAAGATTGAAATGGACCAATTCGGGTAGAGAATATCAATAATGACACCAATTCCCAATAATACCCTTTTAACATGGTTATTAATTGGAGCCTAGAGTCTGAGACACCTCAGGGGCACTCCGGACACTTTCAGTGTGCCCCTCTGGCCCTGCCGGTGATCCTAACAGAGTTCCACATCCCCCCTGCCTTCTCATTTATTGTTCTGATCCCTAAATCTTTTCTGTTTTCCTTCACCCCTTTTACTTGTTTTGTTTCTTTACCAATAACTGTTTCAAATGGCATCATGGAAATTTGGCAGCTCACTTACTTGCGTCGAAAAGAATCACAAATTGTTCTACGTTTTTTGGCATGGTCGAGATGGCCACCTCCAGTGTAAAGGCCAGCAAACGAGTGAACCTTCAATATCAAAATAAACACATGAGTAAATAAATAACTATATATATCAAGAGTAAATTTATTTAGTTGGTTCTACTATAATAGCAGTGTGAGAGGGTAAAAATATATTTGTTAATTCTCTCGTGTTTGGTAACTTACATCTTCTGGGAATGCAACTTTTGATAGTCTTGCTTCAAACGAAAAATCTGTCACCACCCCAATTCAAATTAATCACAAACTTTTATTTGAAGTGACGAGATAAAATAATATTAAAAGTAAGGCTCAAACACAAAGTCAGAGAAGGGTATGAAATTACCACAACAGGTCTGGATTCGTCGTCATGACCAGCCACATAGGCCAACCCATCAGCTAGTTCAGCTGAGAAGTCATCTGCTATCAAATGGTCTGTTTTCAACCCATCAAAGGAAATCATGAGTTACATTTCATGATATTATGTTTGAATAAAAATAAGAAAATAAAAAAATTTAATAATTTTTTTTATGTGTGTGTGTGGGGTTTTGGGGTATGGACGAGGAAAGGTAAAGAGAGTGAACTAATGATTACTAGGAGTAGTGGGGTGCGTTTCACTTTAACGTTTGGTTCAAAGGGAAGGGAAAAGCAAGATTCCTTGGCGAGAGAAAACAAAAAGAGAAGTCGGCGTGTTTTGGCAACGGGAAAAAGCTTTTGCGAGAAAAAGGAATTAAGGGGGTGAAGTGGAGAAGAAGGAGAAAGAAGAATTCGTGGAATATACCAGTGATAACACTCTCTCTCCAAGCAAGACAAGCCTTGAGTTGCTTGGCAGCTTTTTTCACACTATCCCCTTTTGCTTTCAGAAACCGTCTCACACAAGCATAGTTGCAAAACTTCTCCTACACACAAAAACAAAATTAACCACAATTTAATATATCCTCCAAACAAGTCACTTAACATGTTAAGCAAGAGGGAAAATAAAAACCTGTTTGACAGTGAGAGGGGTTTGTTTTCTGAGGAGCTCAAGAACAGCTTCAACTTTGGGTGTCTCCTTGTGATCTCTGAGCTCTGTTTTCTTCCCCATTTCGAGAAACAAGGCTAATGCGTTTGCAATAATTACCAAATCTCCAACAAGGTAGTAGCCAGCTAGAGAGAACAGAACGACTATTATTCCAAACTTCTGCTTCACGCAACCATTAATAAAAGGGTGGGAGGGGTTCTTGTCGCTCAACTCAGAGGAAAGAGAGAGAGAAAATGAATGTAATGTGATAGAGGAACTTGGAGGCTTTATTTATAGCGAAACGACGGCAAATAACGCCGTTACGCACCAAAGGGGGGAAAAGAAAAACACGAACACTTAGATTAGATGAGATGAGAGAGAGAGGGATTTTGTTTTTGAAAACGTCAACACTTGTGATTACTTATTAGGCTTGAGAGTCCACAGTGATTTTTTGAGTCGATGTCCCAAAATGGGTCCCCACTCACCACCACAATGATGCCCCCGACAGGGATTCGTAACGGAAAACGCCGACTTTGCGTGTTAAACTAGTTTCAATTTTCTTTAATTTTTGCCAAGGATGTGCCCAAAATTTGCAACTCTAATTACACACATGAAAATAAAGCAAACAAACAAATGTCTAGTGAAGAAAAAGATAAAATTCCCTAAAATTACTTGAAATAATGATACTTGTCATTTCTTCAAGCGAGAGATCATTAACAGAAATCAATTCTACGACTTCTAAGTTTCTGTAATTCAATTAAATGTTTACCAATTGACTTAATTTTCCTAGTTTACATTGGTCTTTTGAATTATTATATATTTTGTTTTTTTTAAGCTCTACTATTTTCTTCTTAGCATTCCTTACCCTTTTTTTATTAATTAATTTAATAGAAAGAAGAGTTTAAAAATTTATATTTTACATATTTTATAATTAAAATTTGTATAAGAGTAAAATAACAGAAATAGTATATAAATAACTTTGTAGCTCTTCTAAAGTGTATTTTATTTCACTACATGCAAATACTAATTAAATTTTCTTAACTAGAATATTGGATAAAAATATAAAAGTCAAAAGATTATTTTTAAATTGAAACATTACACTTTCGTTTTTTGCTTTTTAACCAATACTTTTCTTGTCAATAATTGAAAAACGTTCATAAAATATAAAGTAATTGAGAAATTTTATGTTGTGGACATTTTTATTATGATCGAATCGTTTCTCAAAATATAGAAAATTATTTGACAGGCAAAACAATTTATAATTTGTACTAGTTGATCACGCGTTCAGTAGAAAATTTATGAAAAAAATTATTTCTTTAAAAATTACCTATACATATATAACTTGAATTCAAAATTACTAATTAAATTAAAATAATTTGTATTAGTTAATCAGGCGTCTAATAGAAAAAGAAATATATAGTACGATAAACATTATATATAAGCTTGTAACTAAAATGTAAATAGTATTTATATAATAATTAACCGTTCGTGTCTTAATTTTAGAGAAAAAATAATAATTAACAAAAAATTATACCAACTATCATCCTATTACAAGTCATATTGCATGTCAAGTTTATTAATTCTAATGATAATCACCTAACAAATTATATCAAAAATTGATTTCTAATTGATTTAGGTGTAAAATATTTTACATTAATAGTAGATGAGTATTACACTTTTTTATTAGTACATAAGTTCAATCCACACCAACAATATAACTAAAAATTAATACTTTATATATTAATTATACTAACTAGTTAAAACAATAAACCGGTATTGTACTAAATAAAATATTGCAATTATAATATATATTTTTTTATTTATATTTTTAAGTAATTAATTTTAAATAATAATAATAATTTTCCACTAATGATTTTAAGATGTTTGGCGAATCCAGAGGAGAGAAGGCAGAGAAGTGCAAGAGGACAAATTGGTGGTGGATTTATATTGTGATAGGCTCACTCTTATGTGCACAAGCTCACGCTCCATTACTTGTATCTTTTAAAAGTGTTACGCATAAGTTAGTATATAAATATATACTCTTAAGTAATATATCTCCAAGTAATATAGGAATAAAGTGTTTCGAAATATCTCAACAATATACAACACAAAATAGTACTCTTTATTGTATAAAGAAGCCTTCTACCTCACCTCACTTCACCATTTTTATTTTATTTTTTAAAAATTAATTAGTAAATCCCTAAATCATTTAAACACAAATAATTAGGTCTTTATTTTTTTTAGTTTTAATTAAGTCGTTCATATTATAAATTTTGTTTTAGTTAGATTCATAGTATCTTTAAAACGTCATAAATTTTGTCATTTTATAACGGTTTCACGAAATGAGTGACTTAATTGTTTAATTTTATTTAAAATTTGATAACTTAATTCAATATTTTTAATATAATTTATTTTATAAAGACGATAACAAGTATCAACTTAAATTCACATACACCTACACTATAGCAAGCCCTAAAATAGTTTGAATATCTCAATATTAATTTAACTTTTATATTTTTCAAATGAGCGTATTACATACTAACGTTTGTTAGTCTAATTAGTGATGTGATTAGCCCTCAAGTCTCAAATTTGATATTTTGGATTTGATAAAAAAAAAACATATTCTTGAAAGAAATAGATTCAATACAATTAAGGTTTAAAGAGAGACGTCTAATCTTTGATGAAGCTGAAAACTAGTCTTTTAATAGCTAAAATCATAAGGAAAATCTGGTTGTGTTTTTTTATTAACTATCATTACATACCATCATATAACAAATGCAGTACTCTAATTCAAACATACCTTACAAGAAAATGTTATTTCAGCAATACAAGGTAAAACAAAAAAGGCTTAATTATAATTTTTAGCATACAAATTTTATGATTTCAAGAATTTTGTCATCCAACTTTTGAAATTGCTCATTTAGTCATCAAAATAATTGATTACATTTTGTTAGTTGACTAATAATGTGATATATTGACCAATGATGTGATATGCATATTTATTACTAATGCATATGATATATTTTGTCATATCATCATCTATATGTTACATTACGTTAACGATTTAATATGTTACACCCCTAATTAACGTAATGAATCAACCATTAATATGTTACATCATTTATCAACTAATAGAAATAGATAATCAATTGATGGAATAATAAAATGTGTAAAAATTTGAAAATTTGATGATAAAATATGCAATTTCAAAAGTTTGGTGATAAAATTCAGGAAATCATGAAACTTGAGTGAGAAAATGCTCAATTAAACCAAACAAAAATTAAAACTTAATTTTTCTTAATACACGATATTTTTTCAATAACATAATTGCTACAATTTGATCGTGTTCTTTGGAGGCTGGTTGGGGTTAGGAAATTATCATAATTCATAGCACAGGCAGATGCATATATTCCTTTACTCATGTAGCAGCGGCAAACTGGCATTGAATTTTCATAGTGACAGTTCAATTATGATGTGGAAGACCGGAAGTGTGGTGTGTGCAGTGCAGGTAGGAAGGGAAAGGCTGCAGTGATGGATTAGGCTGAATAGGAGTGGGACTGTGCGAGAGAGTAATTACACGACCAAGTACATGATCATTGTTTTTGGAAAATGGGATGCATATGAAATATAAGAGGCCAAAACAATACCCGGGCACGTGAACGGATATTGCGGGATAAGTATACGTATGATTAGCATGTATATGTTACAGAGACAAGAGTCCATGATTTTGTTTGTAGTAACTTATTACTCATTGAAATAATGCACCTACAATCATGTTTCTCTTAATATCTTTCACCTATAGCCTATAGGTATATGTAGCTGTGATTTTGTGAACTGTGGCTTCCTTCCTTTGCGTGTGGAAGATAGAGTAGTAGTAGTGTATAGTATTGTTGTTTGCTTGGAAGTGGAAAATGGTGAATCCCACTTTTTCTGCTCTCAGATTGTTCTTATTGCATGGGGGGTTAAAGGGAATATTCATTTACCATCACCACTCGCTGTTTAGATTTGATAGGAGATTCTCCTCTTCTTTTAACTTCTTCGTACCACGTTTGTAACTCTTTTCTCCCACGCACCTTTATTTTTTCTCTCTGCATGCACTCAATTTTGGACACTTGGATGCTACATATGTCCATTGTTTCTTCAATGATTATTCTCGAATCTAAGTTTGTTTCCTTCAATTCGTTATTCATTTGATGAATCATGCATGCATCAGCAATGGACTATAAAACATCAACTCTTGATTTATTTAATTTACAATGTCACACACATGTTCTATTTAAATCAGTTCTCTTTTGACTGGTATGCAGAGGAAATTTTTTATTTATTTGTTAATTGATATCTATTTGCACCTTCAAACGGGATCACGACAAACTACTTTTTAAAACCCTAATATATTAATTCATCATGATTTGAAGCAGATGTGTAATAATTAACAAATAAGGAGTAAGTAAACAAAGAAGGAAGGAGTTAATTTGCTTTTCCTTATGAATGACCATCTTATTAGGTATTCAAATTTACTTTTCTCATCGTGAATGAATGACAATGAACCACGAACAATGGAATTCGTACATATGGATGTAAAAATAATGCATGAAATTAAGTAGGCATATAGTAAATCATTCGTCCTCATGCATCCCTTATATATATTATATACACTGTGCTTGGACGACAAATGCTTGTGAAAACAGTGTTGGCAGACTCGCACGGAGAAAATTGTTCAACACAAAAAATAACTTAGTTCCATAAGTCAAAACCTTGATACTTGTTCTTCCGTGCTATTTAAAAAGACCCGTAGAAAATGATACACTAAATAAGTCCCATGTTCATAGAAGTTCAAGCTCCGTTGTCCTTACGGCGGTGACCCACCAAAGATAGAAAAAAAATTAAGAGAGAGAATTGGATGCCAAGGACATTCTCTATACGTCAAAAATTTTAAAATGCATATCTACTGTTACTAAATATTTTTTTTCTCTCTTTTAAATAAGACGGTTTTTAATTTATGAATTTTTTATGTAACTATCAACCTTTGCATTGTTTAATTAATTGCATGCCTAGAAGTACGTAGCCGAATTTCGAAAGCCAAAGTCAATATATATTGAAGTAGATTACGGAAATAAATAAATAAAAGATTAAAGAAAACAAATAAAAGCATATACTCGTCTGATTACCGAAACAAAACAGTGCGTTTTGTGGGGTTGAGGAAAAGTAATTAACCAAGTTAAAGCGGTATTTAGGCTGCTAAGTTGGGCTTTCCAAGATCAAGTTGTAAGCTTTATCGTCCTGGTTAAATTAATATTCATAAAGGTGGAATTTAGTGTGACATTTGTTTCACTTGTCCTCATTCAAATATTACAGAGATTCTGTTCTCTCTCTCTC